GGAACTTAACAAAAAAAGGGTATACAGATGAATGTCCATTTTGTTTCTGTGTATTCAAAGTGGTTAGGATAGATATATAGTTACATTCTCTTAATGAATAGAATGATTTCTTCTAATGGTGTTTGTAAATAGGATCTCAAGTCCACATCTTGTACAGCAATTAACCACTAAGAAGAATGTATGCAGTGTGTTAATTATTGAAACTGTCCTAGCGATTTGATTTGAAACTGTCTCATTGCTATTTGTTTATCAATAAAATTATGAAAAAAAAAAAGAAAATAACTATCAATGGAAACAGGTCTGTCTGTCCCTATTTTTGTGTAAAATAGGGCCTAACTTGTCTAGGCACCTTTCTCCAAGTTGTAAAGGTACCTCCTGCCATAAAGATGGGACAAATACACTGATAAACACATATTGTCAAAAACCCACACCAGCATCCTGCAGGACTTTTCTGCTGGCTCGCCTCAACCTTCAAATCCCTACCATTCCTGGGGGTGGTGGCACATGCTTGTAATCCCAGCACTCAGGAGGCTGAGGCAGGACTACTGCTGTATGTTCACGGCCAGCCTGGGCCACAAAATGAGTTCAAGGCCAACCTGAACTGCACAGTGAGAGCCTGTCTCAAAAAGACACAAAAACATCCCTACCATCCTTTGTCTCAGCCAAGTTGATCCAGACTTTGTTGCAACAACTGCAAGTAAACTCTTCATAATTCATAATTTGCACAACCATCACCACTCTCTTATTCCAGATTAAGTCCCCTGCCATTAGCAGCCTCTCCCCATTTCCCCCTCCCTGCAGCCCTGGGCAATCACTGACCTGCTCTCTTTCTGCAGAGGATGAATGACTCTTCCATATGTGCAAGAAATACAATGTCAGCAGTACACAGTAAATCATTTAGACCCTGAAGACTTTACCTGCTGAAGCACTCAGCAAGTGACACTATAAGCGCTTTGAGAGAGCATGCGGAAGCATAAGAAGAAAATAGGGATGTCTTTGCAGAGCCGCCAGTTCAGAGCTGGGTGGTGGCGTCTTCATCCGTGATAACCCTTCGAGCATAATATTCCACTGCCCTACGACTCCTGGGAACAGTCTTCTCCAGAATGATGATAGGTGCTCAGCTGCATGGACTTTACGACATATTTTACGCTGTGATTTCTTCTTACCACTTGCTCTTTTCTGACAGAAATACTTACAGTATAATTTAGAGGTAGAACATTCAAAAGTTAGAAAATTAAGGTCTTTGATGATACCTATGCCAACCTTTCGGGTTAAGAACTTAAGCGTTAGCGCTTCAGGCCCTTGTGGGCCTCAGTGCATGGCGGCCCCCGCCCCTCCCGAGCCTTGCCCAGCATCTTCCCAAGACGGCTCCCAGCTCTGGGAGCCGGCGGCAGCAGCAGCAGCCTGCAAGCCTGCTACTCAGACCAGGCACCCGACTCTCAGCACGTGAGGAATTCAGATTTCTAGTGACAGGGCTTCACTACGCAGATCGGACTCGTGGTGACCTTCCTGTCTCAGCCTCCCCAGCTCTGGGATTACAGGCTCGCGCCACCGCGGACAACTTGCCGGTCCGGTGAGAGATTTTTTAAATAGTCTCCATCACGGGCACAATACCTCAGAGAAGAAGTCAAGACGTAAGCGAGCAGTCAGAAAGCCGCCGCGTCTCTGCGCCCCTGGTGCACAGCCGCCCTCTGCAGGGCGCTCTCCTCTGTCCCCACCCAGCTCCTTGCTCAGCGCCCTTGTCATCTCCTTCACCAGGAAGCTGTTTTCCTGCGGCTCTCACCCTCACTCTCAGGCGTGCCTCCTTTAACTTCCACATACCCTCCGACATGACTTGCACAGTTCGTTGTCACCGTGAGCCAGCTCTTTGTCTTCCCTGTAAACTGTGAGCGCCTTGAAGGCAGGCGTCTTAGTTTTATGCCTCCTGACCCGCCGTGAACGCCGGCGGAGCAAAGCGGGGCACGCTCTCATGCCCTTCGAGGGCTCAGAATGAGGCTCAGCAGCCTAACAGAGTTTTGGATCTCTTGGAATACTCTTACATGGGAATAATGATCCGGCAGATGAGAACTGTTCCCTCTCAAGAGAGTCAATTAACCCGCTAACCACATGCCCGCGCATTTCCTCCTCCGTGCTCCTTGCCATACTGTGCCTACGCCCCTGCATCGTTAGGAAAAGAAAATGAAGAGAAAGTGCTTCTCTTGCGTCATTCTCCTCTGTCCCCACGCCCCACTCACCTTCGGTCCTCTGTCTGAAACGACAGCGCTGCTGACACCAGCGTAGATACCCTGCCCCAAAGGCTCCGGCCCTGCGTGGTGACACAGCTGGGCTAGAGCGCAAGCCTGGCGTGTGCGAGGCCCTGCGCTCCACCCGAGCGGCGCTGAGCACGATTCACTCCCAAGCACTGGCGTGGTAGTGTATAATTAGTGAGGCATGCATGATACAGCCACACAAGGTCACCCTAAGAGTCATTTTTCTTCTCTCCTCTCTCACCTCCCCCTCTCTCTCCTCTCTTCCCCTGCAGGGTCTCACTGTGTAGTTCAGGCTGGACTTGAACTCACTATGTAGCCCAGGCTGGCCTCAAGCTCTCACCAGTCTTCCTGCCTCAGTCTCCTGCGCGCTGGGATTATAGGTGTGCACCACCACAGCAAGCCCTACAGTGGTTATCTCTGAATGGTGAAAATATAGTAGTTCTGAGTTTTCTTAAGTTTTGATGTTTATGATTCTGAATTTTTTGTGATGTTTATGCTTTTAAAAATAAATTTTTAAATTTTTAAAAAATATATCAAGAAAAATAAGTTCTTTGTGTTTCCGCAACAGGAAAGAACAAATCTTTTTCAGGAAGAAAATAAAGGTTGTATGGGGCTGGTGAGATGGCTCAGTGGTCTAAAGCACCTACTTAGAACAAGCTTAGCAAAGCAAAGGGACCACGGTTCAATCCCCCAGCACCACATGCCAGCCAGGGCCGCCCCCTGGTGGGCTGAGCTGGCCACACACACACACACACACACACACACACAAATAAATAAAATTAAAAAAAAAAATCTTTAAAAAAAAAAGAAAATAAAGGTTGTGAAGTGCTGGCGATCGCCTTGCCTGAGCTGAGGAAGGAGAGGAAACGGCACTCTCTACCCACCTCCAAGCCTGCAAGCATGCTTCAGCAACTCGGCATTCTTTCTGTAGAGAATCAAGGGCGTTGAGCATCAAACAAAACCTAAAGTCGCACCGAGGGGTAAGCACTATCTTTTATCACCTTCAGTTCATCGTCCCCTCATTTTCTTCTCTGAAACAGGCACAGAGCTTACTTCAAAAAGCAGTTTTCAGGAAAGTGCAGCATTGCTGAAAAATATAATGCTGCTCAAAATGTGGTCTCAGTCTGGTCATTTCGACCAGACCTGGTTTGGATGCAAAAATCTCAAGCTCAGCCAGACCTAGAATACTAGACTTGTGTGTGTGTGTGTGTGGGAGGGGGGTGTTCCAGGAGGCTACATCTTCATAAGTTCCCTAAGAAGATTCTTTGGCATACTAATGTTGACAAGAACAGCTATACCTTAGGCAACCTAGATTCTGATTGCCTTCACTTTAATTGAAAGGAGAAAATGTCCAAAGCTAGTAAATAGTGATGTGCTAGCAGATGTTTGACAGCTGTGTTTCTGCAGGGCTGAGGGCCCTGATTCACAGCATTCCCACCTGGTAAAGCTCCCCCAGACCAGGTGGTTCTAATTGCCCCTTGTGCGGTCACTAACTTGGAGGCTTTCAGTCGCTGGCACCCCCCAGCTGCATGCTACCAAAGAAGCCCCCCGTGGAGCTGGTACAAAGACTCAGTACTCATCTAATTCTCTCCCTGTTTGGGAGTAGAAATCTCAGAGCTGCTTAATGAACAAATAACGTTATCTTATTTTATGCCAATTGCAGTGGGGGCAAGGACAAATTTATTCCCCAAATTCCAGAGAATGGCTGATATTGCATTTCTCACAAGTTCTCAGAACTTTAGGAATTAAGTTGTAGAATACAGGCCCAGTTCTGTCCACTTTGTTCTGTGACAGTGCAAGTTTTTCATTATATTAAAACTTTAAAACCAAGAAAATGTACAAGGGTTTTCAAATACTTCACTGATGTAGCTTCACCCATGCAATTTGCCAAACTGCTATCCTCATCTATTAAAACAGAAACTAAAGTATCTCATGGAACTTCTTGGTTAAAAAGATGAAGGATACCCTTTAAAAAACTTCCCACTTGCAGTTTGTAAATGATGTTTATAAGCATCTGCATATCAGTACTGCTATACCTAGTCTAAGAGAAAAAAATTATTTTCTAATTCAAATAAATGTCTTTACATGTATACTTTTCCTTTTATAAATGAGTAACACCAAACATGTTCTTGATTTTCAAGATTTACCATGACTCCTTAGCAACTTGAAGTATATGGCACAAATTTGATCATCCTCATCCCATACTCATGCTATCCCTGTCACTTTCTGGACTTTGAACAAGTGTATAATCTCTATGACTCTGTTTCCACAGCTTTAAAATGAAATTATAAGAGCATCAACATCAGAAGTATTGTAAGATTTAAAAAGATACTTCAAGAAAAATGCTTTTTTATATATACATAACAGTTGTTTGTATTAAGCGCAGTAGTTGATACTTCTGGGGCAAATTTTATTTTTCTCAACTTTTCTCCATTTATCAGACATGATGAAATTCAAACCAACTTACTTCTTAATCATAGTGTCACCTGATACCCTTGAAGATGGACAGAAAGCCACTTGCTCAATATATATTTTCTATGGAATATGACAAAAAGATGTGCAAAGATAAGCAATCCCATCTCAAAATAAAGAAAAAGAGCAAGTAGTAAATGAGTAACAAATCAAAAATACTGCATGCTAAAGGACATGGAATCCAATTTCAGTAAGTACAACTCACACTCTATAACTCTCTAATGCCTCAACCTCCACTTTGCTTAGCATGTTTAAAGAAAGGAAGACAAAGGAACTGACCCACTAAATTCTCCTTATCTTGCTTCTCAGGTGAAGACACTGCAGAATCCATCTCATTCTCAAGATTTTATACTTGGTAGCTTTTCATGAGTTTCCAGCCAAGCCTGGGCTGTCCACAGCAGTTCAGATGTGGTTGGGAGAGGGAAGATAAGGCGGACTGCCTGAGTGAGGGAAGTCCCTTCTCCTTGGTGAGCACCCAGAGGATTGGTTGTCCTGGAGAAGGGAGTCTGATAGTGTAAACAAAAGAATTTCTTTTGAGAGTTCATACTGTCTTTGGTCACAGAGAAAATTCAAAAGATCTTGTGGAATTGCTTCTTATAAAGTATCACAATGTAATTTTCTCCATCATTTATATATTATAAAATATTTTTATTTACCTCATATAAGTCATTCACCACAATGAAGTGTCTCCTACATAAAGCAGATATATCTATCCCTATTATCTATGAAAGAAAATTTAATCAATTCAATGCACACTAGCAAGAGATCTTTTAAAATTCAAATCTAATCATGTTGTGGTCCTGCTTAAAATATTCCATGGTGACCAATTGTTAGTATGGTGGACTAAAGCCCTCAGGGTTGTACAAGACCCTGCAGGTCTGCCCTTCCTCCCTTCACTTGCTCCACCAGTTCCTCTGACACTTCATGGCTTGTCTTGCCATGATGTCTTGGTACAGGTTGTCATATACATAAACATTTGGCTTACGTCCATTTCTGCCTTTAGACCAGCAGTTGACAAGCTAGAGCTTAGCAGCCAAATTTGGTCCACTGCACATTGTTCATTCATTTGTTTTGAGGTACACTCACAGGACACAATGATGTCCATTTGTTTCTTTGGTCACTTTTGCACTATACTCAGAGTCGAATAGTTGCAACAGACATAGCATGGACTGCAGAACATTAACTATTGTCTGTCGCTGCCTTGAACTATACACTTTAGTGGAGGGAGAAAGCATGTCTGTTATTTTACCATTACATTCACAGAAGTTAGAGCAATGCAGGCAAACAGCTGATATTCAACAGATGCATAAAGGAATTCTGTGCCCATGGTAACTGCTCACAGCAGGCAGTTCTCCTTCTTGAATGCAGAACCTCACATGCTAGCCCAGGATTCCTTCTTTCATCCCACTGCCTGGAATCATGAACCATTTTGAGCTAATCCAGTACTAAAACACCAGTTGCCTAATTTCTTGATTTTTTTTATCTCCTGTGTCAATATCCCAAATATTTTGTTTTCTTATATGGGGAAGTGAAATAATACAAAACAAAGTCTGATTTTCTCTGGTCATCTTGTCTTTTTTTTGAGACAGGGTCTCACTATGTCACCCAGGCTGGCCTGGAACTTACAGCACTCCTCCTGCCTCACAAGTGCTGGGATTACAGGTGTGCCTCACTATGCCCAGCCCCTCTAATTTTCTTCTTACCAATCATCTTGTTATTTTCTCTCAGCAGCAACATTTTAAAAATTCTGCAGATTTGGATTACTTTTGCCAGCCATTTCATGTTAATTGCTATGTGTAATAACTTAAATTATAGTAATAACCATGGCTGCCACTGCAGTTTGTAATTATAAACATTAATGTGGAATTTTAGAACATTAGGGGAGGAGGATACGGACCAGAAAGACAGGACTAAGCAGATACACACACTCCGTGGCATGCCTCTGCTCTTCTGGACTCCCCTGCACGTCCCATGTGGGTGTGTGGGAGGGCGTACTGGAAATCAACACTTAGGCCTTTGTGCTGAGCTTCACTCCTGGCCTCCTCCCCTCACGGTTTGGTGTTTGTTTTTGAGACAGTGTCTCACTAAGGCACTAAGGTGCCTAGAATGGACTCAGACTTGCTCTCCTCTAGCCTCAGCCTCCCAGAGTTCTGAAATTATAGGCACCAACCTGGCACTGCATTTGCCCTATTAATTCTTGGTTATGGCCCAGTATGGAAATGATAGCACAGCAAGAAATGATATCAGAGCCCACAGTGGGCTTTGGGCTCACACTACCTAGATACAAAGATACCTTATCTCCACCATGACTTAGCTGTGTGATCTTGGGTATATTCTTTAACTCCTTTGTATTTCATTTTTCTCACCCAAACAATGGAGGTACAGTACTAACATCAACTAGAGTTGAGTTGCCTGTGTGAAAATCATGACGTAAAACATCCAGAATAATGACTGGCAGAAAAATGGTAACCAATGAGTGGGAGCTAGTCTATACATACATAGTTTGGGACTCAGTTAACTTCTCTCTAAATGGAAATACTGGGTTAGTCTTCACAATGCCTCCTTTCTACCTTGGTATCTAGTGAATGTACAATTGACTGTTGATTGATTTCATATGCCAGTACTTTCTTTTTTAAAAATTACTTAAGTTTATTGGTACATTTTTGGTATACATGGTGATCACATTCATCATAGGAAATTAGTACCTCTATATATTTTTTCTTTTCCCTGCCCTCCCTTCAACTTCTCTTCCCCTCATTTATAAAAGTTGTTCCCAGTTTTCCCTGCCCTCCCTTCAACTTCCCCTCATTTATAAAAGTTGTTCCCAGTTTTTCTCATCACTTTCTCTTTTCCCCTCCATCTCTCTTTGCACCCTTGTCTAATTCTACACTTGTTCACCTCCCATCTGAGAGTCTGAGGCCTGCTCCCTCTGCACTGTCAGTACACAGCTCCCCATCCTTTTTCCTGGTCTCTGCTCACCATGTCATCCTCACTTTGTGACTAACAGAAATCTCATTTTCCCTTCATTTCTAATGCCTAGGCACATTGAGTCTTGAAATAAAGACTGTTTCCCTTTGAATTGGGTGCCCCCACCCACACCCACCCTGCATAGGCAGCAAAGGCTGGAGTTTAGCACATTTTAAAACATAGCTCCACTTAGTGTTGGCCAAATTACATTTGTGCTAGCACTGCCTGTCACTGAGGTGCAAGGCTCAAAACAACAAAAACAGTAATTGTTCCCTGGAGGCAGCTGACAGAGCCTCCTGGGAGCTGCTGTATGCATCCACTTGGGAGATGACGAAGCAACTGTTTTTCTTATTCAGGCAAAATGTTCCAAATGTCTTGGCCTGGAAAGAAAGAGTGGTTTCAACAAATAATGAGCACCTACAACCAGCTTCCCTACAGAGGGTGGGGGAAATAAAACATGAGTCCATTTTCCACTTTCCTGCTCTTTTGTTCATTCAGTGTCTATGATCAAGCTTCAAGTGATGAAAACGTCAATAGATTCTTCTGGCTTCACTGTAGGTGGGAATGCCAGGAGTTACACTCTGTGACCGTCTTTCTGTGTCTACACCTACATTCTGTCAGTTCCTGCATGCAAGTCCTGAGAGAGGTCAGCTGTTTTTAAATGTCCAAATGATAGTCTCACTCTTGACACCCAGGACATCCCTTGATCAGCTTAAAGCAAAATCCTTGCTTGAAACAATACATTCTAGTCCTGAACATTTCTCCTTTCCTACATTGTTTCAGGAACATGCTTTGGCCAGGCATAACCCAACACCATTTCTCCCTAAAATGCAGACCTCTATTCCAGGATATTTGCTACTGAAAATACCCCTTCCTTTCCTTCTTTCTTTCTTCATTCTTCTTTTATGTGTGTGTTTCATTTATTTATTTATTTATTTTTACTGGTTATTCAAATCAGTAGCTTTCATTTAGTCTGGGTCATACATGCACATAGCAATGACCATTTTCATCTCCCAACAACCTTTCCACTTCCTTTTCAATGGGTACATATTTTGTTCATATCCACCTCCCCCCTTATGCCCCCCTTTCCTGCCTCTTAATCCTTTTTCTTATCTAATAAGGGAAGCACTTATTCCACTGAGCCATCTACCTGGCCCCAATATATTTAATTCTTGATGTACCTTATTTAAAAATCCTTTCCCTCTAAATGTTTTAAATATTGAAATGTCAAGAGTTTTTTTGTTTGTTTGTTTTGCTTTGTTCTCTCTTGACAGAGTCTCACTACTCAGTTCAAGCTGGCCTGGAACCTTCAACAGTCTTTCTGCCTCTGCCTCCTCCCAAGTGCTGGGATTACAGGTGTGTACCACTACACCTGGCCAAAATATCAAGTGTTGATATTGGTAAATCAGTCCTTCCAACGGTCCTTAGAAGTATATTCTTTTACCTTGTCCTTTGGCCATCCACATAAATTTTAAAATAAGTTTATGAAATTTTCTTGAAAACTTTGGAAATTTTGATTGTAATCTTGATTAATCCCACGACTGTCATTTGGTATTCTACATAGAGCTAGCATTGGTAACCAGGATCACTGTCTACTATTTAAGTAGGTTTCCTTCAGGGACTTTAGTAAAGCTACACATCTTTGGTTGGATTTGTCCAATAATATGTAACCGCTGCCTTTAAATAGTTTTCCACTATTACTTGAAAATACAAACTGATTCCTGGATATTTTATCTGTAAATCTCACTAAACTTCATTCATTCTAATGAATATGTCACATGTATTACCGGGTCTGTATCTTCCTATTCCTGTGCTTTTTTTACTTTTGTGCTAGGATGTCAAATACAATGCTGGTCTGTACTTTCCTTGATTGATCTAATTTTATGGGATTCTTGCAATACTTCATAACAAAGAATAATGTAGGCTATGCTTTTATAGATTTCCTGTACCTGATAGTTTTCCTTCTTTTTCAAGATGGCTAGGGAAAAAACAAAACAAAACCTATTGTGGTTGAATTTTATTATGTGCTTTTCATGAGTATTCTGAGGAAAAGGTTTTTCATTTGTTAATGTGAATAGCACTTAGAAATTGTATTTTACTTGATTGGAAGTGTCAGAAATTGTTGACCTGAGTCCCCTACAGCTCAACATAACAGCATGGCTTTACTTCTTATATTTCATTTTTATACTTTTCTGCTGGGTGGTTAAGACCAAGGTAAAGCAGGACCTATGCAACAAGAGTTGTGGCTTTTGGGTCTGATAAGGTCAGTGAAATCCCCTCAGGATTTATCC